GGTGTGAGCAGCATTTGCCTAAGGGAGGTGGCTTATCGGGGCCACATTAGTCCTGAAAACCTAGGGTCCCGTCTGGTTTTTCTAAACTTCTTCGTTTTATATGATCATTAGCAGCTACATTCGAACATTTAAGAATGCAAGGGGTATTGGACTTCAGAATTTTGCCCAAATTAAAAACCCCTCCCCTTCCCTCCCCTCCCCTCCGTCTGAGCGGAACAGCAGAATTAGGCAATAGCATGATGGGACAGGTTGCTCTTCTGACTCTAGCTCAGTAGCAGTGCATTTCTGCTGCCGGGTGCATGGGTCAGCTCCTTGCACCCACCTCCAGGTTACCTGCAGCCCCGGGACCTGCCCAGTCGGGGTGTCCTCCCGTTTGTCCGGGGCCTCCTCTGCAACACCGGGGCGCGGTGCCGGAACACGAGCGACACGGGGCCCACGCAGCACCATCTCCGGTAAGAGACGCGGCGCCTCTCAGAGCCCGTGGGGAGCGGGGCTGGCACAGGCACAGGCTTTCAGTAACATCTCGGTCACTGGGGACGGGCCAGAGGTCATGACAAGCACAGAGGTTACAAGGGAAACGTGTTTATTAAACGCAGGCGCACATGGCAGTGCCTGTCCAGCCTGAGTGGTTCCCACGCTGCTCCACACAGTGATTGCTGAGCCACTGGCACGTGCCATTTGCATGCAAAGGTTTATTTCCTGTGGTTGAGCCCGACTTCAGAGCGACCTGCTGAGCTACCCGTTCGCGCTGGTGCCCAGTGCTGGCCTGAGCCGCCCACTGAGCGGCCCGTGTGGTTGTTGGCCACGCCCCTGCCACCCATAACTGAGCTTTTCCTTCTGGGCCTGGCCCCTCCCTCACCAGGCGACAGGTGTGCAGCTCTGAGCCTCCCCAGGCCACACCTGTGGTTCCTGTGGCATCAAAGACCCAACAGAGAAAGAGCGGGAAGTCTTTTCTGAAACAAGAGTCAAAACAAAGGGCGTTCCCTGCGAGGCCCTGCCTGGCCCGGGAGCCTCTGGGAGGGGCGGGAGTGGGAGCGCTGGCTCCGGGCGATGGTTTGAACTTATTGGCTACGAATGACCTGCGTTTTGGTTCATCTGTACCTCCTGCCACTGACCAAGCTCAGACATTGAAAGGTAAAGCATGTGGAAGCATAGGCTCCTTACCTCTCAACTTTAAGTTACAAGAAGAAACCGAGACGTTTCCAGGCAGTTTGGGGCAGCCTGGTGCACTATAAACGGCGCTTACGTTGCTTGAGATGGGTATTGTGTATCCAAGCATCATGCTAAGAGCATCGTGTGGAAACAGTCTGAAAGCAGAGCCCAAGGCAGTCGAGTGTCTTCTTGTGTGTGTGGAGGAGGAAGGGTCAACGTAAAAAACCACTGAAACCTGTAAAGCGTTTTTGTGAGTTTATTTGAGCCAAACTGTGGACATGTGCCGGGAAGCAGAACCTCAACGGATTGAGATAGTCTCCGGAGAATGGCGGGCGACATCTGTGTTCACACATTGCAATCAAAGGAGGGACGTAGGTGGGTTCCATGGAATCCATTGGTGACAGATTGAGGAGGAGGGACAAAGCAAAGCAGGGAAACCCCTGGGACTGGATAAACAGTAAGATGATGGACACATGCTTAGGTGGGTGCAGGAGCAATTAACATGATGATGAAGGAATCTGCTGCATCTGTCCTGGGCCCAGCACACCTGGCTGTGCCCCAGGGGCTCCAGATACAGGGAAGTCACAAGTGACCCAGACATTTCAAGGGCATGTTATCATAGATGCAAAAAGACAGTGAAGGTAAAGGTTGACCTTGTCAGTGAAGATATCGGCTTAGGACGTAACTGCCCACCATCACTGCTTTTAAGGTTTAATTTCAGACCATCCTTTGTGGTGACTTTAGGTCTCCGAGTTTGCAAAACTGCCATGCAGGCCTCCCCTGAGCTTGTCAGGTCAGCATGTGGCCCCTTTCGTCCACAAAGGGTTAATGTAAAAACTTTCAAACCTGTAAAGAATTTCTGAGTTTATTTGAGCCAAACTGTCGACAATTGCTGGGAAGCAGTATCTCAACAGCTTGGGATTACGCTCAGGAGAATGTTGGGTTCTCATCTATTTTTATACGTTGCGATCAAAGGAGGGGACGTAGGTGGGTTACATGAAATCCATTGGCGATGGATTAGGGAGGCGGGAGAAACCTCTGGGACTGGATAAAAAGTGAAATAATAGACACATACTTAGATGGGTGCAGGATAGCCAACAGTCAACAATTAACATGATAATGAAGGAATTTATGGTCTCTGTCCTGGCGCCAAGCACATTAGGTTGTGCCCCGAGGGCTCCGGAAAAAGGGAAGTTACCAGCTACCCAGACATTTCAAGGGTGTGTTCTCTCTCTCTTCAAACCGGTTCTGGCAGGGTGTGTTCTCATAGATGACAAAAGACAGATAGACTCAGTGAAGGTAAAGGTTGACCTTGTCAGGGAAGATACCAGCCTAAGATGTGACTACCCACCATCACTGCTTTTAGTTAAAGTTTAATTTCAGACCATCCTTGTGGTGGCTTTAGGTCTGAGTTCGCAAGGTCGTCACGCAGGCCTCCCCTGGGCTGTCAGGTCAGCACTGGCCCCTTCGTCAGGGCAGCACACAGAACCCTCTCGGGGAGGAGGGGAAGAGCTCTTCAGCACCTCTCAGGTGCTCGTGTCCCTCCTCACTCAGAACAGGAACCTGAAATGCTGTTCGCGTGGGAACGGGGGGAGGGGGAGGCTTCCCACCAGACAGCACTGGCCCTGTCCCCTTCAGTTCTGTGCATCAGCGCACCCTTGAACCTGTTTCTCAGGTATCTACTTCCACTGATGTACGTGTTAAAGGCAAGATAATTAAAAACTATTTTTATTGATTTCAGAGAGGAAGGGAGAAGGGGAGAGAGATAGAAACATCAACGAGAGAGAATCATTGATCAGCTGCCTCCTGCCCGCCCCACACTAGGGATGGAGCCCACAACCCAGGCCTGTGCCCTGACCAGGGATCAAACTGTCGATAGGTTGATGCTCAACCACTGAGCCACACCAGCCGGGCAAAGGCCAAACACTTAACACAACAAGCCTGGCGCAGAGGGAGTTCCCGGAAGCCAGCTCGCGTCCCTGGCTGGTAGTACCTGTTTCTCCACGCCAGGGAGTAACTGTCCTTTCCTCCGGGTCCCTGCGCTTCAGGCTCCGGTCAGTGTGCTGGACGCAGGGATGACAGTGGGAGCCCGGACAGGGCCTCCGCCTGCCGAGAGCCGTGGTCTTCACAGCAGGACCACCTGGGGGCTGTGACTGACAGCAGGGAGGCCCCGGTGTGAGAAATGAGGTGCAGGAGAGGAAGACCTGAGGAAAGAGGGGGGCAAGAGGCACCAGGAAGGAGCCCACGCACGGGCTAGCTCACCTCTGGCTTCACACCCTGCCCCCGACAGCCCTTTCTCATTGGTTCTTATGTTGGCTCAACGATGAAGTCAGTTGACCTTTATCGCCACCAGTAAACATCCACTTGGCCTCAGTTTGCAGATGCGCTGAGGCCAGTTTCCATTCACGTCTGTGGAAACACGATCTCGGCTAATTGTGAATTTCTGTCCCTTCCTAATCCCCCTGGGAAAGTTCTTGGGCACAAGTCCCAGGTTTCCTCCCATCTGGGTTGTTAGGATTCTGCAAACCCACTTCCCTTCCTGGTTTTGCTACAGGAGCCTCCCCCTTAGCTGGCCAGGAGGGTTTTGGGGCTCATGGGCAGGGTCATGTGGGGGTTAGTGGAGAGCGGTGCGAGGCAGGGCCGGAGGGTGCAGGGGGCTAGGGTCCCCGAGCAGAACTGCTTCCTCAGACCTCAGCCGACTTGATTTTAGTGACTTCAGTTTGACTGTGGTGACTCCATTTTATTTCTCACTTCATGCCCCTCTCCTCCCGCCCCCCCGCCCTCAGCCATTCCCCACCTCTGGGCCGTCTGTCTGACAGTCTCCGACCAGCCTGTAACCCCCCTTGTTCCCATTGGCCGACCATTTTTTTTCCAGGTTTCAGCCCAACATCACCTCTGCTCAGGCCAATCTTGAGCGCAGTCTCTACAGCACACTTCCACGCACACGCGGTCTCATCGGATCTCACTGACCCTCCTCCGGCCATTTACTTCACCCAGTTTCGAGGCACATCTGTGGACTCCCTCCTGTGTCCTCCATACCCAGGGGCGGTGGTGCCTCCGTTCACTGGTGTGTTTATTCCCAGCACCTGGCACGGGGCGTGCTGCAGCACATGCGAAAAATAAATGAAAAAAAGGGACTAATAACCACGTACAATGGTTACACTTCACAGATAACGGGATTGAGAGCAACTTTCTAATTTTAAGTTGGCAAAAGTGGTAAAAACCTGAATTCCACTCTGAATGACAAGCAAGGAAAATGGGCTCCTGGGTCAGCCGGTGGAAGGGGAAATGGGCACAGGTCGCAATGACTTGATACTTGGCATCAGGAATCTTAGAATCGCGCAGGACACGTCCTCCTGTCGAGGGCTCTGTGGCGCTACCATTCTGCTTGCTTGAAGTCCGTCTAGGTCCCAAGCCACAGATGCCCATCACGGGATCCATGACCTGGCCTTCTTACAAGAGATGCAGGACCTGGCTGATGACGTGCGCGAGCTGATGGACAAGGCAACAGACTTAAAACAACTGTGGGTGGAACACTCCGGGGCCCCAGGCAAGTCAAGCTCACAGTCAGCCTCTCACCTGGACACGGGCCTCAGCAGCCCGTCAAGTCCGGGTCACAGAGCAGCCCTGCACTGGGCCGGGCGGCCCTTCTTCCTCTTAGAATAGGCACCCTCGTGGATGGGAGAGAGTGGATGGGCCTCGTGGATGAGGCCCAGCACCCAGAGAGGCTGTGGAGGGTGAGCGAGATTCCCACCACCTCCCCCGGGATGGCACACTGGGCACAGCCTCCAGAGCGGCTGCAGCTCATCCTGCTCATCTCTGCAGATCCCCTCTCCATTCTCTGTCCTCTTTTCTGCTGTTATTGCTTCCTTTCTCATCCCCTCTTCCTTTTTTAAGTCCGATCCTGCCTTACACACACACACACACACACACCCCTTGGCCACTTGGTTCCTCCCTCTGGTAGACTTGAATGGGTCTTTCTATGCTCATAACACTTCAGTAATGATCTCTTCTGCTTGGACCTCAGGGTGGGGGCGGGTAATTGCCTATCTTTCCACAGCTGAGTTACTACATACAAACTTCATCCATACTTTGGGGTCACAGTGATCCTGTTCTCGTGCCTCCCCTGCAACTTTTTAACACAACCCCATCCAGAGTTGCCAGGTAAAATACAGGACATTCAGTTAAATTTGAATTTTAGGTAAACAATTTTTTAGTTTAAGTATGTTTTTATTTCCTAAAACTGGCAACCCTAAGAACCCACTTGCAATTTTTTAAAGTTTCCTCACCAGAAGATATTTTTCCATTAATTTTTTTAGAGAGAGTGGATGGGAGAGGGAGAGACAGAGAGAAATACTGATGTGAGAGAGACACATCAATTGGTTGTATCCAGACCAGGGCCGGGGATTGAGCCTGAAACCAAGATACATACATGTCCTTGACTGGAATCTAACCTGGGCCCTTCAGTCCACAGGCCAACACTTTATCCACTGAGCCAAGCCGGCTAGGTCCAGTTTTTCTTTTTAAGTGATCTTCTCCCTCTTTATAGAGTAATACAAGAAAGTGAAATAGAAAGTTTGGCAGAGAAACGAAGCAGGTGAAGTTATGTATTATTTCTAAGAGAGAAACCAGCACCTTCGTGCAGGGGGGAGCCAAGGGGGCAGACTTCACCATGGACCAAATGCATTCCCACGGACCAGAACAGCTCCAAACACGAAAGATGGAGTCCCGATTAGTAGGTGCTCTTGTGGGATCGTTGTACTTTAATAAAATGTGTTTTTCAAATGAGCTTTTCAACATTCTGTTAAAGAGAGAACTAAGTTTTTTGAGAGGCAATCTCCGCTTGATTTTCAGTTTGCCACTATTTGAGCCATTTCTCACGATAAGAGAAAATCTCTATTCACAACACAACAAATGTCTTGGTTTTCTACACCAAGTAATCCTTCAATTCTCTGTGGGCACTCAGTAGGTCTGGAAAATCACAATTTTTCGCTTTTCCTCTTCAACTTTTTCATTGTTTGCTTTCTGTTCCTTCACGTTCTCTGTCCTGTCCTGAATGGTCACAATGCCTGTGGAATGAGAGATTGATAAAGTTATACTTTTTCTGCAAATTAGTGAAATCTGGTTTACCAGTTTTCCCCAGGAATTTACATTAATATCCATGTGTTTTAGACATCGAAAGTGGCTGTCTATCCTTCAGTCAGGCGTGTAACCATATTGTGGCCCAGACTCTGTGTTGAGCCTTTTGATTTTAGAACTGAAATGGCCGCTGAGCAAGGGCACTCTGACTGCTGGCTGAACTAACACGTCTGAAATCTTCTCTGTTGTAGGTTCTCCTTACGGCTCCAGCTTCTTAACAGTACGTATTGTGCCGGAAGTTTGAAACATGGTCTGCAGAGACATAACGGTTAGGCTGCAAACACGGCTTCAGTCTGCTGATTTTATCTTCAGTAACAGCCTGTGGACGCTGGTCTGGGGAAGGCACACTCCCCGAGGAGAGGGGCTGGAAGAGGAGCTTGGCCTGGGTCCAGGGCAGCAGGTGCAGTGAGGCCTGGGGAGGAGCAGCAGGTGCAGTGAGGCCTGGGTCCAGGGCAGCAGGTGCAGTGAGGCCTGGGGCGGAGCAGCAGGTGCAGTGAGGTGGGGGGCGGAGCAGCAGGTGCAGTGAGGTGGGGGGTGGTTGATGATAGCCATTCTGACAGGTGTGAGGTGCTATCTCATTGTGGTTTTAATTTGAGGCCTGGGCGGAGCAGCAGGTGCAGTGAGGCCTGGGGGCGGAGCAGCAGGTGCAGTGAGGTGGGGGCAGAGCTCTGATGTCTGTGACATCAAGTTAGCGCTGAATCCCGCATCGGGGTCCCTCTGACTCGCCCTGGGCACGACTCCCGCTGCGGCCCAGGTGTCGCCACTGAGGGGTCTTTGCGCCCGGATGGATCAGCGGGGCCGGGAGGGTGGAGCACCTTCACCACCGGATCAGGAGGAGGTAGAGCTGTCCAGTCCGCTGGTTCTACTGCGGTCTGACTTGATGGCCGGGGCTTGGAGTCACCCCGAGAAGAAGCCGGAAGGAAGCAGGACCAGGACGGTACCACGCCGTCCTGGTGGGACCTGATTGGTGAAGACATCACTCCCTGTGCGTCGGCTTTTCCTTCCGACCAGCCGCAGTTGCAGGCACTGAGCGTGTTGAAACGGGTCCGCGGGGACCGGTCCCCGCACGTTGGTTCCGCCCGGAGGTCTCGGCTCAGCGCTGGGCGGTGACTGCG